TATTTGTAATATCCCAAATATATATATATATATATATATATATATATATATATATATATATATATATATATACACACACACACACTGCAATATTAACCAACAATACCTGCAATAAACTCAAACTATTTTTTCTAAAAGATCTTTATACTGTCTCTCTTAAACTTTTTCAGTCTAATGTTTAATCTTCCTGTCTTTTTAATCATCTTGAAACAGACCATTAATTTTTTATCAAATAGAACTTCCATATTAAGAAAATATAATAATAGCCTCTAGTTTAAAACATTCAGCATTTTTATGTTCAAATAATATTAAAGTACAAATATATCTTTATCTATGATGATTTTAAACCTTATTTAATATTTATGAGAAGTCATGGCTAAAGATTTGTTTGTTTTTCATTTTCATGTTACTTGACCAAAGATAAGAACAAATAAATAATTCTTCACTGTCTATTGTATATTTCAAGAATCTGGGAGTCATATTAGATAACTTTAGAATTCATTTTTGTGTTTAAGATTTCACCATTTATTTTTTAAATATTATTTTTTTTCTTTTTTATTTTAAAAAGAAAAACGATCACTGCATATATACTGATAAAAGATTTTAAAAACAGTGTTTAATTAAAAGTTTTAAAAAGTTATTTTTCAGTATCAAATAAAGACTCTTTTGATAAATATTTTTTGTTTCATTCTTTCTGTGAGAGAAACCAAATTGAATTCAGTATTGAAAATTTAGGTTTAGTCAAATCCATAAAACATTTTCAGCCATTACTGACATATGAACTTGATTCATGAACAAGTAGTGGGGCATTAATTTATCAAATGAGTACATTTGTATTGATGTGTGTTTTGGTCTTTTGGTTTTGAAATTTCATTGTTTATCTTCCACAGTATAAGAAAAAAAATGAGTAGAAAGCATCCAGGGAATACATACATTTGCTAATGACACTCATTAAAAGCTGAACAATCAGGTTACAGATCATGTAAGTTCTATTATTGTACTACCACTGTGATTATGTCACTGAAGTACATTTTCATTATAAGTGTCATTACTAACTCAAAAATTACCTGTTACAATGTTAACAAAATTGAAGAAAACCTTCACGGATCTACCAAGAAATTGAACCGATATTCTTTGGTTCATTACTCAGCCTTTCACAAAATATTAATGAAATTAATTGGGAACAAATAGACATTACGAACTGGGGCATGACCTCATTATCTTTGCCAGAGGTCATGTGTTATTCCATGTTTGTTTATCTATTTGTTTGTCCATGCAATATCTGCAAATATTCTCAATGAATTTCATTGATATTATGTGATATGGTCAGATATTGGACAAGGAACAAGTGATTAAATTTTGGAGCATATCCCAGAATTCTTTTAATTGAATGCTATTTTATATATTATACTAAAAGTCTGAAATGCATGTAAAAATTGAAACTTACACAGTTATCTCCCCTGCATTGTATTTATCTATTAATTGACATTAACAATAACATTCAAGGTTTGAAAATTTCTGTGTTCATCATCAAATTATTACCCCTGCCAACAAAGTCAGACAGAATTATGTATTCACCTATGATTATCAGTTTGTTTTTGAGGATATGTCTCAGATGAAGAATAATTACAAGCTTTTATTACTGCATAAACTGAGATCTGTAATCTAATTCATCAGTTTTTCCTGACAATGGTGTTGCTATGTGCTCTTTGTGTGCTTTCTAATTATTTTCTTATGCCCACCCCCAGATTCCACTGGTTTCAATTGGTTTATTCTCTGGCTCTCTTTGGATAGATTTTTTTTACTGTACAAAAACTCAGTGCTGAATCAGGATTCCAGCTGATGAAGGACAAAGAATGAAGTTATAAAAAATTTGTGAAAAGTCAAGAAAAGATGAGAATGGTAAAAACAAAATTCATTGTATATTAACAACCCATCTCCAAAAATCTTGGATAAAATTTGGAAAATGATCTATGAAAAAGATTAGGTAATTAAAAAAAATATTCACTTTTAATTTCTGAGATTAAAATTAACAATTTTTTTTTCTTTAAGTAGAGTAAAAGAGGAAATTATTTTGATTGCAGAAAGATAAAAGAAAAAAAAGCATCTTGATAGAGATTGTAATAAAAGTTATATAGCAACTATTGCATGAATTTTAAAAAAATGTATTTCTTTAATTAAAAATTTACTAACAAAAAAGAAATTACTAGAACCGTAAGACTATTAACATTGAATCAGGTATATCTGCAGTATCTTAGTAAAAAATATAAAAGTATATGAAAGTTGCCTACATGCCTTAAAATGCCTTTACTATATTGAAAAGATGATACTTGAAACAAAACAAAAAAACCCAAAAAACAGATTTATATATCACATATACATAATTTCCTTTTTTATCTGTAGAAACCTGTTTTGAACTTAATACAGACACAATTTTGAAATCCATTTACTATAATAAGAATTATCTTGTCAAACAAAAAGCATGAAAATATTGCTGTTCTGTTGAGGGGATAAAATTCTAGCAACATATTGGATAAAATTTGCAAATTTCTACTGAACAAATTGATATTAAATGCCCATAAAAATACATTTTTGTCTGTAGTATCTTAAATGTTCAGGAGAAAAATCTTTTGGAAAAAGTTACATTAAAAAATATCCATAATTCAAAAAATGATTAAAAAAATCAATTACTTGGTTTATAACCTTCACATTCTTCAAGCATAGAAACAATATTTTCAAAGATAAAAAAAATGGGTCTTTTATAATTGTATTGTCCCAAGAGGAATGTAGTGACAAATCTGCTGTAATTACACTTAATGGTCTTGGTCACCAAATAAAAGTGTGTGTGTGTGTGGGGGGGGACATAATAATTGCTAGGTGGGGTCAGGGAAAAATCAGAAAATTTAATAAACGGGAGTGGAGTGATAAACAAATATGACAAAATTTAATAAACAAGGTTGAGTTGGGAAATGATTTAAAACAATTCTTTCAAATTATAATAAGACCTTGAAGAAATAAAATGAAAAATAGATGTCTGTCAATGTTTTTAAATGCTTTTGAAATGTTAAATGCTTTAACAAAATCAAAAATATTATCATGAAGTTTTGCCAATATTACAATATAAATGTCCATCAGTGATTAGCAAATAAATATACCAAACAATGTTCTATGAAATCTTTAAATGTAGAAATTGAAAATATTTTCATAATGTTTATTTTCCTTGTCTTGTTGACTTGTACTCTTCTCTCTAATTTATTAAATGGAGTAACTTTGAACAGTCAAAAACTTAATAAGCTTCAGGTTGTTAGTGTTTTAATAAGGTGGAGCTGGAAAAAGTTTAAAAATCAACAAGTAGTTGGAGGGGATGTTTACTTGGCTTCAGAGAGTAGTTTTTGCATTTATTTAAGTTTATCTTATTTTGAAAAGAAAGTTGATTTAATTTAAATTTTAAAATAAAATAAATTAGAGCTTATTACAAATTTTATACCATTTTATTGACAGTGGAGTAATGGATAGCGGCTTGGATTGAGGAATCGGAGAGCCGAGTTTGAATTCCACTTGAATCCATTATATACATGCTAATACCCTTGGGAAAGGTATGAATCCTCTTCTCCCCCCAGCTATGGGTAAATAACAGGACAGACCTGGTTCTATAGCCTTGGATGGCAACTGGTCTACCGCAGAAAGAAATAGCAACCTACTGTGAAAAATATCTGCCTTGTCAGTCATGTATCGAAAGATACATGATCGCCTAAGTGTGTATCACACATGGCACGTAACTGACTGTTTAGAGGGAGGACCTTATCTATATTAACAGATATTAGATATTAGAGCTTATTACAAATTTTATACCATTTTATTGACATATATTCTCGTGTTATTCATATTTACTTACAGTTATAATTTAATAGCAAATATGAAGTCAATGAAGTCTCTTGTTTTTATTATTTGTGAAAGTTCTATCAGTGCTTAGGACTTCCTTAAAAAAGAATTTCCTCAGTGTGATAAGTGTCAATTGATATCAATTGATGACAGAAGTTAAGTCTGTATGTGGTGAAGAACAGATTAGGTACTGTCCATTAGATCAAAATAGCTAATTGTTACTGCATGATGGAAGTTTTCTGCAATATCAGTGAATGTTGTTGCAAGATTTTATTATTGTAGTTTATGTGTGTGATGAGTTCATCAAATTCCTATGTACAGAGACAGTAGGTTTGGTGATAGCCACAATAATAACATGAAATCAGTATAAAGACAGCACATTCCATTGATGTCAATGTAAACAACACCACATTTCTCTTTTGACCAAATTTTCAAAAGAGTACAAAGCAAAAAAAAACACACACACAAATGAGTAGAAAACAGAAGTAAAGAGAAAATATATTAATTTTATTTTACATTCCCAAATTCAATAAAATTCTAAGAATCTCTTTACCCCTCTGTTTCTGATTTTTATATAATTGAACAGTAAAGTTAGTGATAGTAATGATGTATAACCTGTTTATTCTATTTACATTGTTCGGACTATCATCCTCATCTTTGTTGCCATATTTATCACAACATTTTGGTCGTTGTATGCTCCGGTCTTCTTCAAGTGGTTGGAATGTCCTCAAGGACACATGGCACAGTGGATAAAGGCGTTAGTTAGATCCAGTGACAGGACCCAAAGAGTGCGAGTTCAATACCTGGTTAAGGTGACGGAGAACTTGGAGAGGGGAATTAACAGAAGATAACTGATAACTGACATCCATTAGACATGGCATGTGGAATAGAACAGTCTACCCTAGCAAGTGAAATAAAGGGTTAAGTTCGATATTACAACCACCTGAAGAAGGCTGGAGTGTGCAACAGCCGAAATGTTGTGATAAATATGACATGAAAGATGAGGATGATAGTCCGAACAATGTAAATAGTGTACATAATACCTTATCTCAGAAATATAGACAAACCTATTTTACATTATAAATCTTTACATGAAGTTAATTAAAAAAGTTGCAATTCTAAGTAGATAGACTGGGGTTGGGGTGACTGTACAATAATTTCAGAGAGACTAAAAGAAAGTCAAGAAGATCTTTTAGGTTAGAAAACCATAGAAGGATACTAAATGACACAAACAAAATTATTCAGCTTAATTTTGAATTTAAATTACTTCTAGAGAACAGTGGACTGGGAATTTTAAATTAAATATCTCAAATCCTTATAACAAAGTTGAAGTAGAATTTATAGATTTTAATAATATATTTTATAATATAAGGTCAATACTTACACCATATACAGATGCATATGTATTGTGTAACATCGATCTAATTAGTGACTATAATATGTAAGTATTTTTCTTTATGTATAAATGTATACATATATATAGTAAAAAGTATAAAACAGGTTTAATAAAATAGTTATGCCTAGTAAAAAGAAAATATTAAGTTAGTTACCAAGTAGTTGTAAATAGCAAGGTTGAAAAATATCTTGTTTTAGGAAATAATTTCATTCTTTTTATATTTCAGTTTAGTTGAAGTTTCATGAAGAAAAATTATTTTATTGTGGAATTGAAGTGACTAGAACTAAAAAGTAACCATTTTATAGCAAGAAAATAACAAACCACATACGAGAAAATATTTAAGAATTAATAACTGTAAGAAGGAAAAAGTTATTTTATATATTTTCAATATTTTATAGCATATAAGATACATATGTAAATAGAAAATAAAAATGATGTCAAGATTACACTGCTCCTAATATGCAGGTATTACAACAAGGTTCTGCTGATAGATTGGTGTCATGTCAAAGACTTTCAAAACAAATTCTGTATTGGAAATATTGATGTTTTTGTATTTATATTTTAAATCAAAAGTTAAAAACCTTTCCTCTTTGTTTTCTTTTTCTTCTCTAAGAATTTTGAATTATTGTCCATTACAAGTTTGTAAGGTCCTTGTGCATTTGAACTTAATTTAAATCTTTGGTGGATGAAAGGAATAGAAGTTCTGAAGCATTACCAACATTCAATAAAAAGTGTTATACATTTTTTGTCTACAATTTTATTGTGTCAATCATATGGTTCAGTAATTTTTAATTTTAAATTCTGTATTCCTAACTTGGAACAAGGGCTGGAGTCAAAGAAAAATACAAAAAACCAACACAAGGTTATTCTTGAGAAACTTTTTAGTTATGCGTGTGATTGGCCAATATAGAAAAGAACTTATAAAAGGTGCTCCAATAACTTGGGCTGATTTTAAATGTGAATTAAGTTTAAGTGTTTAATGATTTCTTTTCTTTTTCTTTCAGCGTTAACAACTTAAGTCTTTGGCAATTTCAACCATGGAAAGATTAACAATCAAACAACGTGTTAAAGTTTTCAAAGCCTATTATGAAAATAGACATTTAAACAGAAATGCATTTCATGCACTTCACAATTTTTTTAGTCAACATAATCGACCAACCGAGAGTGCAATTGGAAATGATGTAATGTTCTTGTGGAGAGGTTCAGTTCCTGTGTGCAATGACAAATAGAGGTGTCTGGATTTTCGGCCACATTCTCATGCACTGAAGCAATGTTTTCAGCTGAACAGCGTAAACGAGCACACATTGATGTTTTTTTACATCTGCCACTGAACCAGTTTGTTTGAATTTACAAACAATTTTTTCAATTGCACTCTTGAAACTTTAACATGTTGTTTGATTGTTAATGTTTCCATGGTTGAAATTTCCAAAGACTTAAGTTGTTAAATCTGAAAGAAAGAAAATAAATCATTAGATGCTCAAACTTAATTCACATTTAAAGTCGGTCCAAGTTATTAGAACACCCGTTAGAATGAAAAAATTTGGGATTAAAGACCAGATACAGACATCAAATGAGGTGCATACAAGCAGGAATGATAAGAAGCCATGAACAGGTAATTCCCAAGCTATTGTGTGTAGAAAAGGAAAATCATGCTTTTAAGGTCTTTAAAGTCATCAAACAAAACACACTGAACCTCTGCTAACCAATGAAACTTGAAAATTGCTGATTACAATTATCAAAGCTTGAAATGGACAACTATGGGGCTTGGGTGAGTTGCAGTAATCCACCCTACTTCATCCGTGCAAATATCCTTGTAAAATTATGTATCTTTAAAATTATGTAAGTTTGCAGATATGGTACGTTTTTTCCTGAAGCTATGGAAAATCATATTTGCCAATTGTATTAAAATTAATTCAGACTTGTAGTGGGAAATACCACTTGTGTTGGCAAAATATTTTGAAATTAGCTCTTTTTATAATCCTTTGTGAATTAATAATTTTCCTTCAATAAGTTGATGTCCAAAATTTTTCTGTTAATTACTTTGTTATAGATTTTGCAAGACTATAAATTTAATGATTAAAACAAGGAAAAGGAAACAAACAGTTTAAACATGTAAAGATATTTGTCACTTAAAAAACAAACAAAAAAAGAAGACCTCAGTCAGTTTCTGATATCTGCAGTTATTTGCCTCAATATTTTCACAATATAGATGTTGCTTGATATTAACTTAGAAAAAGTTAATTTTTAATTTTCTTTCCAGTAAGGTTAACTTGCATTATTCAGGATGATCATGTTGGAAAAAAGATTAAGTGATACGTACAAAAAAGTTTAATAAAATACATGCATTGTTATTTCATATATAAATTGAATTATCATTTTCTATAAATATTAGTTTAAGAAAGACATTAATTAAAATAATATTTCAAGATAAGAGAAAATTATTGTGGAAAGTTACATTCTCTTTGAATTTTATATTCCAATTTCATATTGATCTTTGACTTTTACCAGCACTTGCATTTTATTTAAAGCAGATTTAATAATTAAATCAGGATAAATAATTCATAAGTAAATTAGTTTATAGTTTTAAATATATTACTTTTTTCTTCACAAAAACAAAAGAAAAAAGAAAAGGATCCTGGGGAGGACAAAAAAGAAAAGAAGAAAGAAAGGAAACAAAAAAAGAAAAAAAAGAAAGGAAAATGAAAAAAAAAAAATTACCCAATATTAAAATAATTGGAAGTTGACATTTTAATAAATTTAATTTTAACTTTTTATTCTGAGGCTGTTTTTGAATGCTATGAGGCAGAGATATCGATTTTTGAGCTGTCAGCTATTGAAATCATTAAAGTTAAAACAAATATTAATTAGCACCAATCAACCAATCTAACTGTAAGTCTCAATAGCATGTAACTAATCAGACGTCATCTTTTCTTTGTCCTCACTCTTACAGGAAAAGATGATAAAAAGAAAATATACATTACACTAAACATAATATTTAAGGTACTCTTTCAATAAGGAGCCATCTGGCTTCTGTCTAAGATGATAAAAACAAATTTACTGATGAATGGTTAAAAATTAGTTAAATTTTATCAATTACAGTGATAAAAATTGATACCAATGCCTCATGAAATATCTTCAAAATAGTCAGAGAATTTATGGGAAATTACTACCGACCATTTACTTTTTGGGTAAGCCTCCTGAAATCATTGTTTCGTAACCAATTGTCAGATGCAGGTCTTTTACTTGTTGCAGTGAACGCAAATAGTCAAACTTATTACGATCTTCCATCCTGTCCAGATTGAGAGTATTGTAAAGATTCTTGAGACCATTGATACGAGCAGTCTCCACCATGAAACTGGCATTTGCCTTAGCAGTATCTGAGATAACTCTTGAATCAGACTGTGCTGCCTGTAATGTCTCAGCTGCCAAATTCTCAATCTGTTTCACCTAGATTAATAAAAAAAATAAGAAAGGGAGAAAGACTTATTGTAACAAAATCAAAAACAAACAATGCGCACAGAATTAAAAATATAAAATGGCAACAATTTACCCATCACACCCTGTATACTGAGATAATCCTAAGAGAATTAGAAAACATACCAGGATTTATTAGCAGATATAATCTTGATAACATAAGAGACACAAATGATATTATGTTGATGGTAGACTCAGAAAGGAAACTGAAAGAACTATTAGACAAGGTCATAATGGAATGCAAGAAGATTGAGTGATTGATTGATTCGTTTTTATGGATTATCAACCCTTTGTAGGTTATTTAAAGCCAGAAAATATTTTTAGAGTGTAAGAGTTTTTTTGTGGGGGGAGATGATAGTGGTTTAGTGATACAAGTCTTATTAATTAACCCATAACTGGGGGGGAAAAAAATTGATTCATACCTTTCCCAAGAATATTTTGCATGTAAGTGAATATAACGAATCCAACTGGAATTGGAACACAGCTCTCTGATTAATAATTCTGAGTTATTATTCATTACACCACCCATACATGCAAGCATACAGCACCTGATATTCCCAAGTGGTTGACCATCTAGGTACTGACCAGGCTCAACATTGCTTCACTTCAGTGATCATATGGGAACTGGTATTCCAATGTGATGTGGCCATAAGCCACAAAACTATTAACTGTAAGAAGTCAATGCATAGTTGTCAGCAAAAGAGACAGCTGAAATTATGTACTACATATTGAGGACATCAAAATCAGATTGGTACAGAAATTTAATATTTAGTAGTGTAGTAACAGATGATGGAATGTGAGACAGAAATCCAAAGATGCATTGAAATAGTGAGTGATGTCTTCCAAAAACCAACAAAGAATTAAGACGGTGAGAAATATTTTAAAAGTGCTTGACTGCTATTTAACACCTAATTTCCTATGTAGTATTGAATTGCTGGATAATTTCCTCACATACACATCAGATAAATGGTGGGTAATTGAATGACAAAATGGGGAAAATACTATGTGATGTATTTAGTCATTTGAAAGGACTTCTTCAGATGATGGGAATATACCTATATACATGTGGAAAGAATGAAATACAACAAATTATTAAATTATATAGTCCAGTGCCCCTGTTATTTACCTTGAGCGCCTTGATAAAATCCAGAGAAGAGTCAGCAATATTATAGGTCTGATCTGACAGCTTGGCTTCAGTCACTTTCCCACTGCCATAAAATTGCTTCTGTGTCTTTTCTATAAATACTTTTATGGTAATTGTTTGGATGAGTTCTTTGCTATAGTACCAAGAGTTTTTGAAATTAATTGCAGTACTAGACTAGCATTGAGATCCCATCAATTTACAGTTGAGCTGGCCAGATGCAACCATAAATTCTATGCCAACAGTTTCTTTTTGCACACTTCTCTCTCCAGCTCTATGCTTTGCAGCCAACTTTAATCTGCAAAAATTTAAATGCAATGTCAACCACTATCTACTGTCCTCCTGATTACTCTTTTCTCTTTCTTCTCATAACTAATGTTTCTATTCCTAATTCTTCCACACCCTGTAACCATTTGTCTTAGTGGCTTTACTGCCTTGCATGGGACGATACAGATTAAAAAAAGTATCATGGTTATATCTATTTAATCGGGCATATATATATATATATATATATATATATATATATATATATATATATATATATACACACACATACATATATAGTTCCATAGATCTTATGTGAATAGAGAAAAATTTAACTAAAAATGTCACAGAATTTGATTTTACATGTAATGAATGTTGTCACACCTGCCTAAGTAGTGCAAGCTTAAAAAAAAGATGCTACCCCCTGTTGCCTGTAATATGCTTCTTACCTTCTGTTCCGTTTCTTTGCGAACAATGTGCGCCTCTTGAATAAAACCCTCTCGTTCAGCTGAGGCATTTAATATCAGAGCGTTAAGAAAACTTTCATCCAAGGCATCGGGAATATCGATAGCACCTAGCTGGAAGTAGCGGACATCCACAAACATGCCATAATTTTCAATAGTGCAGTTGTTTCTTGGCTTGCAAGACACACAACCTAATATAAATCAGAAAAGAAACAAGGTTATTTTGTGTCAGAATATTCTAGAATATAAGGTTTGAAATTTGGCAGCTGTTAAAAAAATCCAAATTAAGTGTTTTACTGTGGGTATGAGTTATAAACATTATAATTATACAGCACATAAATATTTTAAGCATACAGATTTTTGAAAATTAGAGACTAAATATGCAGTAGAAAACATTTCTTTTAAATAAAAGTTCTGGAAACTTTTGTATATACCTAATATTTATTTTTTAATTGGTCAAAAATTGACAAAGAAAAATTAAACTTAGAAATATACAGAATACAGCAGTAAAAATCTATACAAAGTTTAACTCCATAAATTTTATTACAATTAATTAGAATGGAAAGAAAGTTCTGTTGATTTGAAGATGCAAAAGAAACATTTTGGTCTCAATTGATATAAGAGAATATATCCCCTCAGAATTGATAAAATAATCCCAACTATTTGACAAATTTTGGATTCCTTAGGTGTAAAATTCTTCAAGTTTTGGTTCAAAGGAACACTTAATATCAGTTTTAACCTCTTCACAACTAATAAACCATTCAATCTTTAAAAAAATGTTGCAATGATCTGAAAAAAATGATAGTCAGATGGTCAAGTTCAAACGAAATTTCTCAATCAAAATTAACCAAAATATCGTTGACATTTCTGGACATTTAAATCATTTCTATCAACAGAATTAATACTTTTTGAATTTTTGGAGCATACAATCTTTGATATAGGCCTGATCTAAAATCCTTTTAAGATGGCAAAATTAATACAAAATTTATAGACTGTTATTAAGTAACCTGCAAAAACAAAAAAAAAAAAAAAAATGAAAACAAAGATTAATGGTTCTTTTTCAATTCTAAGTATTGAAAATGTACCCTCAAAGTAAGTATGCCAAAAATGCAACAGGACTTTATTTCTATCATAATAGATATAAATTCAGTGATTTTATAATTTTTCTAATAGGTAATTCTGTTTGACAAATATAGACAATGTTATATATTGTTCTTTTATTAAGTTTAATGGATAACTGGATCAAAATACATTAGAATATAAATACATCAGAATTTAACTGCAAAAATACTTGTAATTAATCAATATTTCATTAACGTTTTTTATTGCATTAATAAGAAATACTTATAACTCACATATATTTGCAGAGTTTATGATTTAAAACAAGAAAAAATTTAATAGAAACATTAATCTGAATAATAATCTAGTCAAAAATGAAGTTTTCACTGCATCTATCACAAATGTGCCTTAATGAAAATTTTGGCAGCATTGATGATTGAAATTGACAAAAATATAGAAATTTTAATAGAAGAAAACATTGAAAGTATCTATCCAAAGGTTGACTTTTTGGCAAAGTTTAACAAATGTACCTGCAAAAAAAATGGTATGTCAAAAGGACATTTTTTCTCTTGATACTGCTATTATTGAATACTCTTTTGGCAATTTTTATTATTTTAAAAAGCTATTTTTAGACTTTTAATAAAACCTAAACATATGAAACTGAATTTATACATTTTTCTTTTCTTGAGAATGACAACAAAAATATTAAACACTATTCTTATTAATTTTTCAAAATTTTTATTATCAATTCTCAAGAAAAAAAATGTGTAAATCCAGATGCTCACAACTTATTTTAGTAAATTTATTTGATTAGAGAAAATAAAAGAAATGTCTGGAAAATGCATTTTTTCAAAATTTATAATTACGGTTACTTGTCATTATTTGTTTATTGACATTTTTATAAATTTATGAATAAAAAATATTTATAATAGAGTAAATAATAAATATTGTAGCTGGTTCACATATTTTTATAATCTTGTAAATATAAAAATTATCTTGTAAATAAATAATCTAATAGATAAATAAATAAATAAATAGTGTTTAATATTTTTGTTGTAAATCTAAAGAGAAAAATGTATAAATCCAATTTCATAAGTTTGAGTTTTATTAAAAGTCTAAATATAATTTTTTAAAACAATAAAAGTTACCAATGGAGTGTACAGCAATAGTAATGTCAAGAGAAAAACATCCTTTTGACACACCATTTTTTTGCAGCTACAAATGTTAAACTTTGCTAACTTTCTTTAAAAGAAAGAAAGTTCGCTAAAACCCTAAAAAGAAAAGGATTTAACTGTAAACTTCTTTACCAACAATGGTTGGACTTTGAAACTTAAATATAATATACATAAATACATCAATAAATCCATAGCCTAATAATGAAATGCAGAGTAAAATATTTATTTTTTAACAATCTTTCACATAGATAAAACATTATATAGTGAAAATTCTAGATCAAATCTAATATCTATGTGTCTGTACAAGTACTTATTAATGTAGTCTTGAGTTATACCTAATCAGCCAGGAAGTTGTAAGAATTATCAAGATATATATATTATGTCTTACATCATATGAAATTCTCTCATTTTTTTTTGTACTGGAAAAAGAGTACACACTATGCACAGAGCATTCTCCTCTACTGAGGTTCATTTCAATATTATCAGTTCTGTTAAAGAGTAGAAGCAATTCATTCTGGTCAAATTCAGAATATTAAAAAAGCCACATATTTATTCTTTATACACTTGTAAAGTATAAGGTTACTTGCTTTGTTTTCAGTAGCCAGTAGTTTTTATGTGATGATGTTGCCAACCCTCATCATTTATTCAGGTATGGCACCTACTTTGAAATCAGTGTTGTCCAACTTGACTGGTTGCTTACCAAAGCTAGAGAGTCCAGTCTGCCCTGTTATTTTACTCACAGCAAACTTCTCTTAGATGGATTGTTTTCTAAAGAACTCCCACTGCTCTACTATTTAATGATAGCTGGGATAAGTGAGTTCATGCCTTTCCTAAGAGCATTAGTGAAAACTGAACATAAGCAGCCTCAGCTGAAACTTGAACTCATTATTCTTTGCTGATAAGTGCACCTCAAAAAAGAAAAAGTAAAAAAGAAACGCAAGTTATACACCACACCTGATAAATAAAAACATTCCAAAAGTATTCATTAGTTTGTATTTAAATAAGTAAGAATCAGACATGCTATCACTATAATGAGAATAACTAGTAATAAAATGATAGACTATTACTAAGAAAGTAAAAAGAAAATAAATTAATACTATAACAAGGTAACCAAATAAAAATAGTATAATAAAACAGAAAGAAGACCGAATAACTCTTGCCTCATTCAATCATCAGGCTTCCATGGTTAAAATGGTTAAGTTGCTGTCCATGAAAAACAAATTCTTGAAATGTGGGATGTGAGTTGAAATCTCATCAGAAACTACTTCTTTATTTTGATCTCATGCAGTTTACTTTAACAGTTGATGTGCATATTGATCCAAAGTATAAAGATAAAAAGCAATAAGAGAGAGAGAGAGAGAGAAATAATAAAATAAGAGTAATAATGCTTCATCTAAGAATAAAAAGTAATGTAATGTTATCACTTTAGGGATACAAAAAGTGATTGTCCTCCTTTGGTTGAGCTGAAGTCACATGGGTCATGCAATGACAGTTTAGTGACATGATTTCATAGAGTGATAAAAATTACCAGTCTGTCAGTTTCCAGGATTCAAAATGAACAGTTGCTTTTTTAGTACAGGTGAGATTTTGCCTGGGCCAACTTACAAGCTCATGGTATCGTTTTCCTTTGGAAATATATCTTCACCAGATATAGTAACTATATTTAGCTTGAAATCCTCATGTTGATAAAAACCAATGATGTGCCATTTCCAGTTCAAGGAATATGTCCTCACTAGTGACATAGGAAATAAATTCAGTTCACTCAAATGGAATCCTGAATCACCAGGAACAAAGAAAAATCTTCTGGCAACTAAAATTCCTAGTGGGAATTATTATAAGTAAGGCTCTTTTTTGCCCTCTTTTCACACTGCTTGTTTTTGCATACATGTGTTATAGTTTCTCTGTATGGGACATGTAAATATGTGTATATAATTTTGTGTATGACTTAACAGTATGAAAGTCTCTCTGAGAACAAAGCATTTTTGTCATTCTTTTTCTTTCAGCTATTCCTTTCCGTCTGTGAAATCAGGTGTTATTATATTATGGATATAATAATACTCATAATGGAAGAATAACCCTTTCTCACACAGCACTCCTATTATTACTATTTTTCTTTCATCTTTTATTACAAGTATTTTAAAGTTTCTCTGAGTGTGCAACTTCCTATCTTTAGTCATCCCTTTAGTCTTATTATACTCTCAACACCTGCTATTCTGCCAGCATAATTCTTCAAAGTAGCTCCCTTCACAAAAACTCATGATTTACAAATCTTAATGTCACCTCATGTTTTGATTCTAAGAACCAGTTAATTTGTGTGCATTTATGATAACGGATACCAGATGAACTTGTAGCGGCAGTGTTACCAATATTTATCTTTGGCTAGGAAAGGTGGGATTAAGGACAATGTGTGGACAATTCAATTTATATTTGACATAAATAGCACATAGTATAAAATACAAAACTGAACGGAATGATTTCAAAACATAATTGAATTTATTAATATTGATATACATGCATGTAAACTGAAAAGTTAGACAGAGTTGTGTCTCTTAGATTAGGTAAATATTTGTATTTGAGCTCATAAAGTGAAAGTAATTATTAAACTGTAGTTTAGAAGAATAAAGTTTCTTTAGCATGTTTGGAATTGTGTATTGTACAAATTGGTAAAAGTTCAGAAGAGATTTCAAAGTTTGTACTTGTGTGAATGTTGGTAATGGTCTTTAACGTCTGACTGCATTAGTTAAGATGGGAGTTCTTGAAGATTACATCTTGGTACTTGGTAGCAAGAAATGAGACGCGAGAGAGAGAGAGATGAAAAGAAACTCCAGGGAGCTTACAGTGTTCTGTTTATATATCATCGTGAATCACGTGACTGGCTCAGATGGAAAACGCGGTAAAACAGATTTGTCGCGTGCAGGCAGTTTGATTGGTCGGAACTGTCCAATCAGCAAGCTAGATTGAAGGTGATTAACCAATGGATGCTTGTTATATATTTTGTAAGATTGTGATGTTGAAAATTATAACAGGAATAGTGCATTTCCTAGCAGGGGTTAACTAGCTTGTTGTGGAAGAGTCCACAAACTGAATTATCAGCCAACTGTTTGAAATTTGCACTGCATAATCGGAAGAAAATAAGATGAAGTTTACACAGTGAAATGACCAAACTCAAGAAATTATTTGAGTATGGCATTTAGAGATGAAAGTACAGAATCATACTAAACTGGACATGAGACACTTACCAGTCGCATTTTGGTCCCTTTCACAGTAGGCTTCACAGCAATCCCCACCAAGGACGTTTTTTAAATTCTGATATAATTCTGTCTCAAGCAATAAGCGTTGCTTAACAACATCACGTGTAGTGAATCTGGTTACGACATTCTGGAAAATTGAAGAATTTAATGCAAAAATGAACACGAAAACTGACCCATATTGAATTTTGAAGCAGATGTAAAGTTTTTGTGTTGAAGGATGGACAAATTTTATCTGGGCTCAATATATTTAATTAAACCATATAATAGCAAGAAGATGGGAACTGAAAAAAAACTTGTTTTTATTTGTTAGCTAATATTCACTTTAAAATACTTAAAATGAACTAAAATAATGTAAATATAGGGGAGGTAACTCATTTAATTTATCTATTATAATCATCTGAAAAATTTCATTAGAAACAAAGAATATTGAAATTTTCCAATTTCTTGCTACTTTGCTTAGATTTTGAAGTGCATCTTTTGTTATTCCAATGTGTGTTTAATTTTGGTGTCACATTTTCCATCTCCCTCTGTTAAAAAACACTGCCCTGATATTTAAACTTCTGTACTTGTTTGACGTTGACATCTCCAATTTGTAGTTCATATCTTGGGATTTTCCTTTTGCTGAGAATTATAGTTTCTGTCTTCTTACAGTTGATGGCTAGTCTTTTTATCCTTGCTTTCTTTTATTACTTTGTCTACCATCAAAATAGTGTTATCTATGTATCTGATATTGTTAAGATTGTGCCCACTGATAAGTCCTGGTCAACTCTGTAGCTTCTATAGGATATACTCACTGTAAAAGTTGAATAAATCTGGTGGGAAGACACAGCCTTGCCTTACATCTTTTTGTTTACCCACCATAGCGTTCTATTATATTGTTATGAGTAGAGTATGCCATGATACTCACTCTATTTATTTTCTATCAGTATGCAATTGCTCCCAGGATTATTCTAAAATCTTTCCCAAATAGGTCAAGTTTTCTAACAGTTCAAATAGCTCTTTCTGCTATACCTTATCAAATACTTTGTGTAATCTGTAAAACATAGGTGTATATCCTTGTGTACATCATTCTGAATTTGTATTATTAAATGATAATTTCTTTATAAATAATGAGATTTCTTTGTATTTGGTTTTGAAGGGAAGGAGATTTCTTTGTATTTGGTTTTGAAGAGAAGATGTTTTTTTGTATTTGGTTGTGAAGGGAAGGAGATTTCTTTGTATTTGGTTGTGAAGGGAAGGAGATTTCTTTGTATTTGGTTGTGAAGGGAAGGAGTTTTCTTTGTGTTTGGTTTTGAAGATAAGACTTTTTTTTTTTGTATTTGGTTATGAAGGGAAGGATATTTCTTTGTATTTGGTTTTGAAAAGAAGATGTTTTTTTGTATTTGGTTTTGAAGAGAAAAAGATTTCTTTGTATTTGGTTTTGAAGAGAAGGAGATTTCATTGTATTTGGTTTTGAAGAGAAGATGTTTTTTTGTATTTGGTTGTGAAGGGAAGGAGATTTCTTTGTATTTGGTTTTGAAGAGAAGACGTTTTTTTGTATTTGGTTTTGAAGGGAAGGAGATTTCTTTGTATTTGGTTTTTGAAGAGAAGATGTTTTTTGTATTTGGTTGTGAAGGAAGGAGATTTCTTTGTATTTGGTTTTGAAGAAGATGTTTTTTGTATTTTTGGTTGTGAAGGAAGGAGATTTCTTTGTATTTGGTTTTGAAGAGAAGATGTTTTTTTGTACTTGGTTTTTGAAGGGAAGGAGATTTCTTTGTATTTGGTTTTGAAGAGAAGATGTTTTTTTGTATTTGGTTTTTGAAGGAAGGAGATTTCTTTGTATTTGGTTTGGAAGAGAAGATGTTTTTTGTATTTGGTTGTGAAGGAAGGAGATTTCTTTGTATTTGGTTTTGAAGAGAAGATGTTTTTTTGTATTTGGTTTTGAAGGGAAGGAGATTTCTTTGTATTTGGTTTTGAAAGAAGATGTTTTTTGTATTTGGTTGTGAAGGAAGGAGATTTCTTTGTATTTGGTTTTGAAGAGAAGATGTTTTTTTGTATTTGGTTTTGAAGGAAGAGATTTCTTTGTATTTGGTTTTGAAGAGAAGATGTTTTTTGTATTTGGTTGTGAAGGGAAGGAGATTTCTTTGTATTTGGTTTTAAAGATAAGATGTTTTTTTTGTATTTGGTTTTGAAGGGAAGGAGATTTCTTTGTATTTGGTTTTGAAGAGAAGATGATTTTTTGTATTTGGTTGTGAAGGAAGGAGATTTCTTTGTATTTGGTTTTTGAAGAAGATGTTTTTTGTATTTGGTTGTGAAGGGAAGGAGATTTCTTTGTATTTGGTTGTGAAGGGAAGGAGATTTCTTTGTATTTGGTTTTGAAGTGAAGATGTTTTTTTTGTATTTGGTTGTGAAGGGAAGATGTTTTTTTGTATTTGGTTGTGAAGGGAAGGAGATTTCTTTGTATTTAGTTTTGAAGAGAAGATATTTTTTTTTGTATTTGGTTGTGAACGGAAGGAGATTTCTTTGTATTTGGTTTTGAAGAGAAGATGTTTTTTTGTATTTGGTTGTGAAGGGAAGGAGATTTCTTTGTATTTGGTTTTAAAGATAAGATGTTTTTTTTGTATTTGGTTTTGAAGGGAAGGAGATTTCTTTGTATTTGGTTTTGAAGAGAAGATGTTTTTTTGTATTTGGTTGTGAAGGGAAGGAGATTTCTTTGTATTTGGTTGTGAAGGGAAGGAGATTTCTTTGTATTTGGTTGTGAAGGGAAGGAGATTTCTTTGTGTTTGGTTTTGAAAAGAAGATGTTTTTTTGTATTTGGTTTTGAAGAGAAGGAGATTACTTTGTATTTGGTTTTTGAAAGAAGGAGATTTCTTTGTATTTGGTTTTTTGAAGAAGATGTTTTTTGTATTTGGTTGTGAAGGGAAGGAGATTTCTTTGTATTTGGTTTTGAAGAGAAGATGTTTTTTTTGTATTTGGTTGTAAAGGGAAGGAGATTTCTTTGTATTTGGTTTTGAAGAGAAGACGTGTTTTTGTATTTGGTTTTGAAGGGAAGGAGATTTCTTTGTATTTGGTTTTGAAGAGAAGATGTTTTTTTTGTATTTGGTTTTGAAGGGAAGGAGATTTCTTTGTATTTGGTTTTGAAGAGAAGATGTTTTTTTGTATTTGGTTGTGAAGGGAAGGAGATTTCTTTGTATTTGGTTTTGAAGAGAAGATGTTTTTTTGTATTTGGTTGTGAAGGGAAGGAGATTTCATTGTATTTGGTTTTGAAGAGAAGATGTTTTTTTTGTACTTGGTTTTAAAGTGAAGGAGATTTCTTTGTATTTGGTTTTGAAGAGAAGATGTTTTTTTTTGTATTTGGTTGTGAAGGGAAGGAGATTTCTTTGGATTTGGTTTTGAAGAGAAGATGTTTTTTTTGTATTTGGTTTTGAAGAGAAGATGTTTTTTTGTATTTGGTTGTGAAGGGAAGGAGATTTCTTTGTATTTGGTTTTGAAGAGAAGATGTTTTTTTGTATTTGGTTGTGAAGGGAAGGAGATTTCTTTGTATTTGGTTTTTGCCCAGTTAGGAAAAACAAAACCTACCTTTATAGCATCATTGCCTTTTCTTTTCACTTTGTCATGGTAATAAATATCATATTTCTTATGCAAATATGGCAGCTCATTTTGAACCAGAAAATATTGGTACCAGGCAGAAAGGCCAACCTGAAATAGAAATTATTTTATCATAGGTAAATATAATTTTATCATAGGTAAATATAATTCTCTTTCAAAAATTACTGCATTGTTTATTGATTTGTTTTCTATGGCTTACCAACCCTTTGTAGGTTATTTAAACCAAGAAAATATTTTTAGATTGTAGGATTTTTTTTTAGCAATAATAATCATTTAGGGATAAAAGTTATACTAATTAACCTATAGCTGGAGGGTGGGATAGAGATGAATTCATAACCTTCCCAACTAGAATTGGAACTTGGCTCTGTGATTAACAATTCTGATCCATTATCCATTTCACCACTCACACATCCAAGCTTACAGCACCTGGTATTCCCAAATGGTCACCCATCTAGGTAGTGACCAGATTTCACATTGCTTAATTTCAGTGATCATACAGGAACTGGTGTTTTGATGTGATTGTTCATTCAGATAATAGAAAATATCTGATTATTATTAATTTTTAAGTATTTTTTTCTGGATGAAGAATGTAACTATATAATTAAATATCAATGATATTGGATGTTTAGCTTTATAACACCTACTCTCAAAGGCAGTTGTTCCCAGATGATGCGGCACACCTCATAGGTGTGGCAAAAGAGGATAACAGGTGAGGGAGAATGATTGAAAGACAATCAACAGTTTAAAAAATTCATATGTCAAAAATAAATGATTTCAAAATTTAAAATATTATTATGGATTACTTGCAATTGCATACATGAGTTATAAATAATTATTGACCAATTTTATCATTGCGATATTTTTGCATTTTATCAAGTATTAAGAATACAGCAAATAGGGTTTGCAAATTGGAGGAGAGAGTTATCAATGATAATATTCTAACTTTGAATCTCTCTTTAACCCTCTCTCTGTTTTTAATTTTTAAATGTACTTTTTAATCACATTAAATTTGATGAGGTGCAAGCAAATTTTCATTCCAAAAATGTCTCCCAGAGGAAAAATGTTTTGGAACCACTACTCTAAGGTGTTGCCTGGTCAGATCAGCTCCCAAAGATAATAGATGAAGGTTCAAATCTCATTAAAAGCTTAGTCTTTTTTTTTTTTATTTATTACAAATGTAAGATACTTATTTACCAAATGTAGATTTTGAAAAAAGAGTGAAGCATTTTGATAAAATCAACAGAAATAAAATGAAAGAAAAAGTAGATAGAAATTTTAATAATGTCAATGATTCCTCTGCGAAATTGGAAAATATCTTATCCCACACTTATCAGTATATATACAGAAATATTGTATGTCATTGTTTTTAAAAGATACCAATTTCTACTGATTAAAGTTTCGGAAACATACACAAACAAAAAAAGAATCACTTAAAGATTCATGTTAATATTTATATTATTTCTATTCTTTTTGATTTATTAATGATAAAGGTAAGCAAAACAACATTTGTAATAAAACCAACTTTATTTTATACTCGTAGCAATCATTATGATAGGCCTAATTACTACTGGTGGCACAGGCTAGCTTATGGTTTTGATTGTCATACGATGAATATCAGATAAAATTTACCTAGATTTTGGGTCTTGTCTTATCTATAGATCATCTTATAGGTGGAAATATATGGTAGTTGCTGGCTCATTTCATATCTTAATGTAAAGTTAGAAAATAAATCCATTCAAAAGATCATGAATATGAAATATATAAAATATAGCATTTTATTTACATTTAGAGTACATTATATTTACATTAGTAAATATCTATGAGGATGATACAACAGTTTACAGGTGCACCTCCCAAAATCTGGAAGACCAGAACTTAACAGGTCATCTCTGACCTCACCCAGGTGGCTCAATAGGGAAAAGAGCAGACTTGTAAAATTCAATATGGGCAAAACCAAACTAGTAACATTCTATCATCACTGAGCAGATCATAAGCTTTCAGCTATCATGATGGATAGATCTTCTCTCAAGAAGGTTCCATGCCTGAAAAGTTTATTGGAACTCAAGCTCTCCTCAGAATTCGTATATCCAATCAATTGCTAAAAGATGCTGGAAAATTGTGGTTTCATTGTATCACTCCGGTAAGTATCTGACTTCATCTGCTATAACTTCACAAGAGCCAGACCAAACAAAAAATGGAGTATTACTGCCATATCTGGGCTGCAGCTGCCCAGTCCTCACTTGCCTGCCAAAAAGCATCTATGTGGCCTTGTGGGTGATGAATTATGTTCTACTCTATAACCCCTTTGCCACAGATGAAACATTGCAAGCCTCTTGCTGCTCTATTGTTATTTCCATGGCATGGGTTCTGAAAGCTACAGTTCTTAGCCGACTAGCCCTGACCTTTACAACTGGGATCCACTATACCATGTACACAAAGGTGAATCATCCCCCTTCCCTTCATATTCCATTAGTAAGAAGTTCTATTTAGTCAGCATCTTCCTAAAAACTGGTGCATTGTGGAACAAACCCCTGGCAGGATGTTTTCCCAATCACCACAATCTTGAGCTCTTCAAGTCTAAGGCTAACCATTGTCTTTCCTGTATAGCCCCATGAACTTCACTTCTGCCTTATGTTTGTACAACACCACAGAGTAACCTTCTACCATGAGTGGCTCTTAGGTCTTGTACTGGGTGAACATTAGTATTAAAAATAATTTGGACTCATGTTTTTAGCTTTCTTTGTTGTTATTACCACAAAATATATTGGATGTTGTACTCTCCTGTATTTATTCAAGTATCTCTTGATCCAAATAATCTCCAGAGAATTTTTAATTGAAGCCTTTATTTAATCTACAGGGATAGATTGTTCATTCTCTTCATGTCTACGAATATACTGTTTAGTTATTGCTCAGGGACTGCAATCCTTGGATTGGTCAGTACAGGCTCAGTAGAAACAGGTTGAGCAATAACTGATCAGCACTTTAAAAAAACGAAATAGATAAGATATCCCTAGACGTAGACAGTAGAATAAAGACAATCTACCCTTGTAGATTAAATAAAGGGTTCAGTTCAAGATTCCTTGAAGGTTATCCAAGTTCTTGAAGAAGGACAGAGAACATAATGGCTGAAATAATGTGATGATAACAAAGATAAGGCAGTGGTTAAAAATAGCTTTGAGCCAGTGATGCCTATGAGTCTTGGTGACGACCACACTTCTTTGAATTTTGTCAACTGGTACTACAGAATCACAAGCAAAGAATTGTACCAAATAACAGAAGTGGCATCACTTTGAGGGCTTTCAACACCTAAAATGGATATCACATGTAACTCAAAGTGAAAATAAAAGCATAAATAATAACATAATCAAGATGTTAACATTCCACATTACTTCAAATAAAAGGCTAGGAAGAAAACTCCCATCAATACCTGAAAGAACAATAATAGCTACTGAACTTGAGAAACCCATTTTCCTGAAAAATTGTTTCAAGTGAAAGAGTTTATAAATTTCAACTGACAGCAGGATTGACAGCTCAGTCAATGAATACCAAATGTTTTCTTATAAGGAAATATTACCATTACCATATCCCAGAAATCAGAAAAATGTATAGCTTTTTTAGCTGCTTAAATTGCACTTACAAATATGAAAGTCCATTTGTGCAACTGAACAACAAGGCTGCCATTGTTACTTTTTATACTGGAATAGCTCAACAAAAGTGAAGACATTTTATATATTGCAGTTTGTGCTGTACTTGTGGATAGGTTTTCTTTCTCTTCCATATTTCGGTCTAGCCAAAAGAATATTTCAGTAACTAGTTAAGAGTTTTGTTTTTTTAAATTACTTTAAAAAATAAGTTTCAATTTAAAGAAAAAAAATTACTGAATTCAATGAAACATCAAAGATGGATAATTTCAAATAATCTTGTGTTTTGATAATTTGACATCTGAAAAAAGAAAACGGCATGAAATTTAAATCTTCAAACAACTTACTTCAAGTTTGTCAGATGTGAAGACTCTGATGTTATTGACAGACTGAAAATGAGCATCAGCCTGGAAGGTTTTAAATTCATGTGATGGCCCAATAACATAGCGTCCACTGTCATAGACTTTATCCAAATTAACAGATGCGGTAATCTTGTTGCGAACAACACCAAACTAGTAGTGAAAAAAGAAAAAAGTGACTGAGAAAGATTTCAAAACAAATAAAGAAATTCTTTAAATTCAGTGCTTGAGTGTTGGAGTTTAAAAAAAAAAAAAAAAAAAAAAAAAAGAGGTGGTTTTTTATTTTCTATAAAAGTTTTCAAAATGATAGGATACAACCCAGAGGTTCCACCTTTCAAAATTAAAAAAAAAATGTATAGGCTTTAGTCCTACAAGGGAGACAACTACCAGCAATTGCAATTACACTCCATAAAAGAGAGAGAGAGAGAGAGAGAGAATGAGTATCTAGCATTTTAACAGAAAACATAGATACTATATTTTCATTCCAGGCAGAGGAATGAGAACAATATTTTGATTCTAGACAGAAATCCCAGTTTATATGTAAATAATCCTTTTATATTTGACAATTAATTTGCAAGCAGGGTAATATTTAACAATCCAGGGGTCCCATTATCGGAAATTAAGGAAAAAAAAACAGGTATATACTATTACAAAGGAGAAAACTCTGAATATGGTGGTTTTGGTCCTTAGATATCAATTTTATAATAAAATTAAAGCAAGACAACAGGACAACACGACTGGTTGAAACAAAAGGACTCACTTTCATGATCAATGAATATTATTGATTGATTGATTGATTGATCATTTATTTAATACTTTTTCTTTGGAAGTTGGAAGGCAAAAATAACTACTAGGTTGTCCAGAAAGTCCTAACTTATTTAGGAAGTGGAAAGAAAACAAAATTTCATGGAGCAACAGCAACATTAGATTAGGTCAGCCAGAATGTCCTTGATAATTGTGTTTAGCATTGAAACTGTCAACTCTGGGTGTTGACTTCAATGTCCACTTTTATATTTACATATGTTCTATCCCTGATATTGAGCACTTTAACCCTTAAAATAAGCATACCTTAAAACTGTATTTTATCATTATATATATATATATATATATATATATATATATATATATATATATATATATATATATATACACACACACACAAAGTTGGCAAGAAAGTTCTGACTCACTTATGAAGCAGAAAGGAAACAACAAAATTTTATGGTTCAACAGCAAGCAACATTAGGTTAGGTTAGCCAGAACGTTCTTACTCATTTGACTTCCACCCTCTGTGTGCTGCAGCTGTTTGTTGCTCCTGCACAGTTTATTCCTCTTTGTGTAGGCCGCATCTGACAGAAATGAGTTTGGAAGAAAGTGGAATTAGAATTTTGATTCCCTACTGTTACATGTGAAAACTTTCTGTAAGAGCTGCTGTGAAGGAAATTTGTGATACTGAAGAAGAAAATACAGTCAGTCAGTCAAAGTTCTTGAGGTGGTACAGATGTTTCAACTCTGAGGATCTTATTCTTGATAATCAACCACATTCCAGCTGACCATAAACCTTTGACAGCAAGGCTTTAGTGGCAGCATTGAAAGTTGAATCTTCTGCAGTCATGATCTTGTGAAAGTTGTTGGAGTGTCATTCCATCAGATTATACTGATCCGATTAAGTGAGTCAGGACTTTCTGGCCAACCTAATGTTTTATAGTATGGTTTACCCAACTTGGCTCCACCAAAACTGCTCGTTAGATGGTGCTATTTAAGTCTATAAAAGGCAAGCATATTTTCACTGCACTTTTTTTCCTCTTGCTTCCAGATGTATTTGTGCATAAGTAAAATGTCCCCCAGTGGGGCACATTCATTTTTGTGGCCCTCTGTTAACTGAACTCTCAAACACATGCGCATACACACATGTATCTCTCTCTCTCTCTCTCACACACACACACACAACAAGCAAATTCTTATAAATAGTTTCAATGTCTTTTCTTTTCATTTCAATTGTGTACACATAGCCATAGTACACATGCAATTACTTTTGTTAATACATGCATATGATTGCTGTTGGTTTTAAATTCATTGGATTTTTTGTTTATTTTTACCTGGACTCACATGAGTCCACCAATATTCTTTGTGGGACAAATGTTCCAGGAGTCCATAAATATTTACTGTAAAACAATCACATACATCATATCAAAAGTATTGATTCCTACAACAAAGCGGTGATTTATTTTTACCCAAACATCATAGAATCTTGCAACAACGGTATAAAAATATAAGTCACTGAAAAATTGTAGTACTGTTTAAACTTGTATAATTTTTTTAAAACTGAAATTCAAGCTTTTCTAGAAGTTTTAATTTTGTTCAAAACCTTTTCAAAACACAGAATCCAACTATGATATTTGATGATATATAATCTTTGTCTTAAAAAAGAAATGTGGAAAACTGTCTTCCAGTACTTATATTTGAAGTTGAGGTATTTGGTAGGTTAATGTTTAAATAGACACCATAGATTAACCAGTACTTGTATATAGCCTAACTCCATAATACCAGTGTATTAAATTTAAATAGTGTAGACCTTATATGCCATTAAATAGTTCAACTTTTTTACAGCTTTTGTTATCACCATATTTCAACTGATCTATTGTTTGATATTCTTCAGATATATAATTCATATAGAAAGAGTTGAGAGGAACTATTTTTTCTGCAATAAAAAAGGTTACCAATAGAAAAAAAAAGATGGTAACAAATATATTGATCAAATCAATCTACAGTACTTATCCAGACACCCAAAGGTTGAAAAATATGTTTAAATAGTTCAAAATTCTGGATAATTGAATACTGAAATTATAAAAAATGAATGAAGAAAAAAAGTCATTTATATCATCAAATAACATTTGCTTTGTTCAAAGATTTTTCTAGCTTATTTTTTTTTTAATGAATTTTTGTCTGTTACCAGCTGGCTTCATGTTTTTTATGCCACAGCCTCATGGAGCTGGATTAAAGCAGATGGATTTGTAAGGGTAGCTGCAAGTTGAAAGTGCAACCAAATTAAACATTTACTAAATATAATCATTGCTCCAGTATTTGAAAATAAAAATTTAAATGTTGAGTATGATTTTCTGAAAATTTTCAACATTTCTGTTGCCTCAAGTCTCTTCTCCATCTGTAATGAGATTGTCCAGCAATAGTATAAATATTACATGATAATTCAGTACTCGTTTATTTCCAATGAAATTTTAAATTTAGAATTTTTCTTTTCTTAGACTGGTTACCACACAAGGCAAGAGAGCCCAGTATACCCTGTTTTTTTAATTTGTAGCTGGGAAGAAGTGGAAGATTGGGGCCTTTTCCAATTTGAACTTAGCTTGCTGATTCAACATTTGGTGCTGATATCTGTTACTAGTTTTACTTAATCATATAATTCTTGATTCTTATTAAAATGGTTTGGATTTACATATTCTTTGGCTGTTACAGAAAACACTGTAAAATCAGAAAAAGATGAAACCTCCAATGTATTTGCCAGGTCCTCTCAGGAGATGAGCGATACTGACTCTCCACAATTTCTTATCTTTTGTAACTCTAAACAATGCTTGTCTTTTTATTAATTCTCCCAGTTTCTATTTTGCCATCTGTTTATAGTTACTCACTGTTTTCCTCTGCCTTTCTTGCTTTTAATATGTCTTCTGAATGTTAAATTCTCCAGGCCCTCTTTCCTCATTATATGTCTCAGAAAATTTATCTGCTCACATATTCTGTTATAGGAAATAAATCTTATTTCCAATACAATTACATGCCCATATACATACCATATTAAAACACACTCAATCTTTATTTTTGACCCAATAACAGACAATATTTATAAACATGATAAAAAAATTCCACACTACAACAAATTGGAGTGTTTATTGGTTAGAAATTAACACCACCATGTGAAATATTTAACCAGTCAGAGAAAACAAAACCCTATTTTTCTTGAGGCGACCTTTTGGGAAACATTTCTTATAAAAAAAACCTAGAGATTTTAACTGTCAGTAGCAAAGATGCTCCAAGCCATTCAAACACAAGATGTGGCTACATAACCTTTTTCCTTTCTCTCAGTGCATGATGTGATTTCAAATTAATCATCTCCAACAACAACAGGTAGAATGGTCAGTGAACCTTCATGGATAAATTAAATTTATTTTTAAACCACAGCTTTATCTGTGTACCAACTACCCAAAGACATTACATCAACTAAAGACTATTTTTACTCCTTTTTGACCCTTGAATTCATATACATATGTTTGTAAATACAAATTTTTTATTTAACAGCATGTTTCTGTTTTCTTTAATTTTATTTTATTATTCTTTGGAATTTGAACATTTGTATTTTTATTATAAAAAACCTGGACAACCAAATTAACCTACATTGTTCATGTTATTCTCAGCATTCAACAGCAGAACCACATCTATAGCTTCAAGTCTCTTTTTCATCTGTGAGGAAATTTTCTAATATTCCAGTGAATGATAATTGTTAAAATGTTTCAGCTAAAAATGTTAAAATAACTTAAAATTACTAATACTAAGGAGTAAAACTTATGGCATAGTGAATTAGAAAAGGAATGTGTTAACCTAGGGAAGGTTACTGAATAGAATAATCACACAAAGGTTGGTAATGAACAATAATACTTACGACACGAACAATGCATATAAGATTCGCCAGCAGTGCGTAGAAGAAGTAGTCAACTGCTAGAAGCAAGTCAAGTGAATTCCACAATGAATCTCCAGCTGCAGGATATCTACTAACCCTCCCATGTGGTCAGATGTAGCACAAGGCCGAATTTAATGTTGGGTATCTGAGCCTGTAGGCTCGACCAAACAGGGCCAAGTAATTGTTTCCTGAGATAAGACTCTGCCCTTCGACATAGCCTCATCTGGGGATCCTCTCTGCCTGGAAGCAGAAAGTTTGACCAGCACAGCTGGAGACAAATCTCCAACTGCAGATCAACATACAGTATTTACTACTGTATTTATGTGAATGTGGACATACTCATTATCCATATGTTACAAAAGATTGACATTGGTGCTTATGTGGCTTGAGAGGTTTAAGAAGCATCCATGAATGATAAATTCTGAAGACATAGGATACAAGTTCAAATCTCATCAGAAGTTACTTATTTCTGATTTTATATAGTTTGTTCTTTCAGTTGAAAAGTGTATCCACTCAGTTTTGTGATAGAAATACAGTAATACGAGTAAAACCAACAAAAAATAATAATGATGAAAAAGCTTCATCTAAAAGGAAATGCTAAAATGGAATAATAATAATAATAATGGCACTTCATTTAAAAGATAAAAAAAATAACTTCTTGGTTCTTACCTCATAATAGTCAAGATAACTGAAGCTGAGAGGTAGAATGATAATAAGTAACATCAGACCAATGATAAACAATACGCCAATACATATAGCAATCATCTTGTTGTTGCTGTCCTTTAAGTCAGGACAGCATCCTTCCAGGTCAGCCATTTGGAGGTTTTCTTAATTAAGGAAGAGGGAAAATTAAATATATTAAAGATATAAATGGATAAATTTATCAATAAGCAGATTTGTTTCATGCCCAGTATATTCTAAATCACATACCATGGCAAACACACATACATACATGCATGCATTTACCATGTTTAGATGTTAGATATGTATTTAAATCTGAACAAAAGAAATGAAAAATAGCACAGATTAATTTATAATTTATTTTTATTCTACCTTATTTCAAAACTTTAAAAAATGTTGTTGATCTTATTGAGACCAGATTCATATTGCATCATAATTCTATTAACCTTGTTAATATTAACCTTTGTGTCTTTTCTCATTAACTAGAGTCAGCAAACATTTTTGTAAGTGGATCTGACTAACTGTTTTTTTTTTGGTGGTAGTGTGGGGGTGTAAAACTATGGATATAAGCAATTAATGGATTTTTTTTCAATCTAAATATTTCTTAGTACTATAAATGTAAATAATAAAGTATTGAATATTGCTGCCACATCTGGTCTGGTACTAATGCTATATATTTAGAGATCATTGATAAAATCCAAAGAAGAATCTTTAATGTTATTGATCCTGACCTGGCATCTCAGCTTCAGTCACTTTCTCACTGCCATAATGTAGCTTTCCTGTGCCTTTTCTATAAATATTTTTATGGTAATTATTCTAATGAACTTTCCACTATAGTACCTAGACTTTATGAATTTAAGTGCAGTACTGGGTTGGCAGCAAGGTCTCATAATTTTACAGTTTAAATGGCTAGATGTAACTGTTCTATGCTAACAGTTTCTTCTATCACAGTTCTCACTTGTAGAACTCACTTCCAGCTTCTTGCTTCCCAGTTAAATTAGATCTTCAAAAATTTAAATGCAATGTCAATCATTATCTATTGTCTTAACTCTTGTTCTTTTACTATCCTCTCATCTTAATAGTAGTTTTTTCTCATATTCTCTAACACTCAGTAACCCGTTGCATCCTAGTAGATTTATTGGCTTGCTTGGGGTGAGATGATTAAAAAAAAAAAAAAAAAAGAGTTATTTTTGTAGATACATGTGTTTGAGAGGACATCCCTGTTTATTTACAAACAGTGAAATTAATGTCTACAGGCCTAGATCATTGAAAGTCTTATTAAAAAAATGTACCGCTTGGCATAAATTGAACCTGCATTCACTTTTTTTTCCTAAGAAATTATCTTTTGGCTAGTTGTACCATTGTCAGTCTTACATCAAGGCAAGGGTCAGTTACCTTTTCAAAGAAATGTACATCTATAATTGGGACATTTTGGTCAAATCAAACATGTCAGATTGAAAAAAGTCATTAATTACTTAAATTACTTTTACATTTTTGTAATAAAATATAAGTTATCTGATATAGACACCAAAAACTCACAACAATTGATGTACATTAATCAAAAATAATAACTGAACTTTGCCTTGCTGTAAGGACTTCCATAACTGAAATGGCAAGAATTCAATGAACTAAAAAGTGGTTTCCCAGTAAAAAAAAAAAAAAGAAAAAAAAAAGAAAAAAGAAAGAAAAAAGAAAGAAAAGTGAATGCATGTTTGATTTTTGCTGAAATGTACATTTTTTTTTAATAAGATATTCACTGGTCTAAACCAGTAAGATAATTGTATATTTTTTTAAATAATTTATTTTAAACCATATTAATAATTTATTTTAAACCATTTTAATAATCTTTTCTTTTATGAATAAACAAATTAATTCCGTTCTTTTAACAATCATGTTAAAGGTGAATAACAAAATTCTTCTTTCTGAGATAAAACCAAATGAAACTGTGGTACAAAATTTGTCTCTCCAATCACAAATGTTAACCAGTTAAGGCCACTATATATACAAATTTATTATATATAAAATGTTTTCGCATATAAATATATTGTACCAAATGTTAAAGTTGTTGTGCAAAAGCTTTAAAGTTATTCTTCATCTGGGAAACATTTGCTAAAACTAATTTTATTTTTTTTTTTAAATTGGTATCACCCCATGCAAAACAGTAAAGCCACTAAGATACAAGGTTTTACAGGGCGTGGAAGAATTAGGAACAGAAATGTTAATAATGAGAGGAAAGAGTAATCAGGAGGACAGTAGATAGTGATTGACATTGCATTTAAATTTTTGTAGATTAAAGTTGGCTGGAAAGCATGGAGTCAGAAGGGAGTTCCATAAGTGAGAAAAGATACTGTTAGCATAGAATTTATGGTTATAAACAAGCTCAACTGTAAACTGATGAGATCACAAGCCCGTCTAGTACTGCGATTAAATTCAAAAAGTCTAAATGCTATAGTGAAGAGCTCATTCGAACAATTACCATGAAAGTATTTATAAAAAAGGCACAGAGAGGCAGCCTTTCAGTGGTGGGCAAGTAACTGAAGCTGAGCTGCCACAATATTGCTGACTCTTTGGATTTTATCAAGTAGCTCAAGAGAAATTGCAGGGTCACCAGACCATATATGCCAGCAATATTCTAAGCATGGATGAATGGTAGACTTATAGATAAGTATAACATTCCTGTTTTGAACAAGGGATCCAGAAAAGTTCTCAGCCTAAAATTTGACAAAAGTGAAAAGTTTTCTTTTTGGTCCAGTTTGTATTCATTTTTTTCAACATGTCATAACAGTAGATCTGACAGGAGATAAAAGACATTTTGTTTTAAACTTTATATATATTAAAAAAATAATAATGTAAAATATTATTTGGAAATAATAGCATATGTTATATGGTCTGTAAACTGAAGGAAATGCTAGAATTGGTCCCTAGGGCATAGTTTACTGACCCCTTGAATAGATTAAAAAGACACACACACACAAAACTACTGTTAGTTAATTACTCAGACATTTTTTATCTGATCTGAATATGTTGCTAGAATATTTAAAAAATTATAAACAGATTAAATGTGAAAATCTTTTATAAAAATATATTAAAATAATGTAAATAATCATAAGTAGAAAATTTACAAGATTTGATAAAGAATGTCAATTTCAAGTCTATAAATATGTATTAATAAAATTTAGGAAAATTTTACTGAAATATATTAAAATAATAAAATTAAATATATTAGATGTATAAAATGTACACAAAATACATTTAATTATTTTAAAATATTTAATTACTATAAACAAACAATTTTAACAAGACTTTTAAAAGTAAATTTTAAAAAATATCTTAAAATGTATTAAACTGCTGTGAGTCCCAATAAAAATAAAATATATAAACAAAAATAAAAAGAATTAAAATAAAAATAAGGCATTTGTGCTTTCCTTTAAAACCCTTATCTCTTTTTTTTCTCTCTCATTCAAACTTCTCTCTATATATTTTTCTCTCGACTAATGAGAAGGCTACTCTCAAATAAAAAGAAGAAGAAGAAGAAGAAGAAGAAGAAGAAAAGACTGAATCCGGCCGAAAGACACTGAAAGTTTGTGGGATCAGAGCCTACTAATTTAACTGAAAACTACCAAAAATCAAGGAGGCTCCACGTATGACTTCCATTATAAAAAAAAAAGAAAAAGAAAGGAATGCTGGAAAATAAAATAATTTTGTCCATTCAAAAAATTAACACAAAGAGACTTTTGATGTTAGCTGAAACTAAGGTTTGTGCCAGAGACTTGGAGCCTGGTCAAAAGGAGATAAACTCACAGCTCTGAGCTAGATGAGGAGAGAGAGAGAAAAAGAAAGAAAGACATATGGGTTTTAAAGGAAAGCATAAGTGCCTTATTTTAATTTGAATTCTATTTACCTTTGTTTATATATTTTGTTTTTATATTTTATTTTTATCAAGACTCACTATAAAACTATTTAACATAAATAATCACAATGACAAAATGTTAAAAAGTTCATAAAACAAAAAATATTAATATTTGTGTTTTTTATTTTTTTCAAAATGTTTTAAACAGAAAAAAATTTAACCAATCCTGCTGATTCTTGTGCTTCATCCTCTTTATTTTGTCTTGTTGTTTAGTGCTGTGATCTTTAAAAAAAATTAAAATAAAAAAAATAAAAAAATTACAATAAAATAATCTCCCAGGATTCATTTTCTCCCTGTAAAATCTGTCATTTAAAAAAAATGTTTAATAATACATATCCTCAAACTTAACATGTGGTCATTATATGAACTTTCTTGTGTGACACTAGTATACATACTCATCTTGGGTGTTATATTCACAACATTTTAACTGTTGTACATTTTGACCTTCTTCAAGTGTTTATTATTAGACGCCATCACCTAAGCAGCACAGCCATCAAGTTTAGAGCTTAAAAATGCACCATTGGATTGAGACACATGACATAGTGGATTAGTTTAGTTCCCTGGCAGTTGTAAGTTCAAACATTGAGTGTTGATGTTGAAAAATCAGATCTGGTTCAATGGAAGAAATGAACAAATGACGATATTCAGTCACCCCCCCCCCCACGAGGGTGTCATGTGGCACAAGGCCTTTTTAACGTGGGCATTCCTGAGCCATTAGGCTCGGCCAAAAAATAGCCCATTTGAACCCGTATAAACGGGTTCTGGGTCGGTTTTACCTCCCCGAAGGAGACTCCGCCCTTCGGCGTAGCCTCCTTCGGGTTCCTCCCGCCCGTAGAGAGTTTAACCGAACAGTCGCTCAGAAAGTGAACAACTGAAAATGAACAAATGACACAAAGGAGAACAAGAGTGGTGAGTATACGAGTTATTCCCCGTAATCATTTAAAGTAGGCTAAAAACAATCTACCGTTGTGAATTGAATAAAGAGTTCAGATCAAAATTCCAAGAAGGTTACTGAGTATGATGACAGGCACCTGAAGAAGGCTTGGAGTAAAATTTCCAAAACGTTCTGAGTATAACAACCAAGAAGAGTTTATTAGCATGAACGGAGGGGTAAATAATAATTAATAATGTGGCACAAAATTTTAGCCAATCAATTTTTAGATTAAAATAATAACTAGAAAGTGCAAACTTCTGCCAACACCATCGTCACTGTAATAATCCTAACAATCAGGTGAA